CTTTTTGTATTACACTTAATTGTTTAAATCAGGTAGATATATGTAGGATGATCGTGAGATAGCATAGATTCAAGTCATTTAATAAAATGGTTCTTGGCTAACTTCTACTTTTGAACGTTAACATGTTCAGGTTTTTGCATAATTTTTAAGAAAGAATCTGCTATTATTTAAATCAGATAAAAGTGTCTGATCTTGAAAAAATTTCCAACTCAAAAGACGTGATAAGATGAAAATGATCCAACCAGTGTCCCTTTGAAACGACCCTAAATTGTGCATTTGAATTTCCGGCATCATACAGCTGAGAAAGCCGTTTTCATTCTGGCTTAATGGACTCATTGGCAAATCTTCTGTGATTTTAAAGATGTATATGAAGATTCATAGACATGCACTATGCTAAACAACTATATCTGGTGAGGAATTTTTTGCCATCAGAAAATATTCTTCTTGGAACATAAGCATAATACATAATTGAAAAGTCGTTAGTAAAGAATCTGCCCATGACGACACTCAGGCTATCAGTAGCTTTGAAAACGTATCACAATCGATTAATTATTTATTAGCTATTATTTTTCTTATGAGCCGTCAGAGCTGATTGAATACATTTTTATTAGCTATTGTTTCCATTTATATCTATAGTTAAGAGTTAAAGTAGGGCATACATAAACATCAATGCTTAAAACAGGAGTACGGATCAGATACAATTCATAGTCAACTTAAAAAAGGGAACAGGAAAAATGTTCTTCTAAAAGTGCTATATTCACATTGTGCTGACTAGTGAGGATGTACCATGCATGGAATTGATATTATAAAAAACATAATATTTTTTCACCTGAATTTATTTAGATAAAAAACACGTTTCGATTCGTTCAACAACTAAATCAACTAAAAATAATTAAAATATTACTAGTTTCATTTGAGTAGAGCATAGGATAAAATAATGTAAAATAAGCTAGTAAGCAGTTTGGCAGGCTGTTATTACAGTCAGAAAAATCGGCATTTCAGTCGTCAAAACCTGAAGAAAATGGTGATTACGGAGAATAAGGCCCTTTTTCGGTGAAATAAGGCCCTAATGCATAAGGGCTGTCGGCCTGAGTAGTACTGGCTGCCTTGCCTTGAGCAACTAACTTAGTAAAAGTGAAACAAACGCTAGACAAATTTTTGGATAGAACATACTTCTGAGTATTCATAGGGGGAATTGGGGTTACCTTTGAGCGTTTTCTGCCGTACACTTTTCTTACAAACAGAATTTCATATGCATGCGTTTTGTGGGCATTTTGTGAAAATTGTGACTTGCGCTCCTGTATGTAGAGGCAAGCAGGTAAATGGTTTATCGGCGCACTGAATAGGCTTTAAAATGGATGCAGCCGGTTCGGGGCATGATAAGAAAATCTATCACTATGGCAGCGTCTCAGACGGTGATGTGAGGAGCCGTCTTTTTCCGAAGCAGTTGTCGCCGACATCTCTCCCGGGTCAGCCGTCTTCTCATTCAACTCTCTGACCAGCCGGCGTACACTTCCGACAGACGACATGTGCTGATGTGTGAGATCAGCCTCTTGGTTCGTCAGACCATGCCGTTGTTGCCGAAGACTCGTGAAAGTCAGCTGTTTGTCGGCCTCCCAACTACTGTCCACCGTAGGCATGGCTGTCTGCAGGTAGGGCAGATGAGTCGGTGAAGTGCTGCGAAGGCTGGAGCGTTGGGAGATGGGCTGGTTCAATCTTCGGTCGGAAGTGGCCGTGTCAAAGTCTTCCATTGGGACACCCGACAACGGGGATCGGATTAGCTGCGCCCTGGAGGGGGGCGATAATGAATGTCTCGAGTTGCCATGCGATACATCCTCGAGGCGAACGGGCCAACAGTTGAGAGGATAAGGCGTAGTTCGTTTGAATGGTCGATCACGAGGTGCATTACCTTGCGGTGATAAATCTGTACCACTGTCACCCTGGCAACAGGCAGCGGTCGACACGGTTGAATAACCCGAGCCGCAGGTCTTCTGTATCGGTGGGTAACCGTAGTTGAGCGAGACGAGCGAGGTTATGTTGTCGGGCTCTCTGAGCGGCAGGGGGGGCCATTCAGAGGCGACTTGAGCAAACGGCACGTACGGCTTCGGACTGGGCGCCACACTTGGCATTGGCCCGCAACGGTACTGCTGCTTCTGTTGATGCTGATGCTGATGCTGATGATGATGTTGATGCTGTTGTAGACTCTGTTGTCTGGAGTGTGCGACGAGGGGTTCGTTGAAGTAGCGCTCAATTGGCGTCAGGTTGGAGTTGCTGACGGCGGCTCGACTCTGTTGGTTGCTGAGATGGTTGTTCGAGTCCGTTTGAGGCGGATAGTTGACGGAGGGTGGGAGAAGAGGGCCGTTGTTGGCGCAAATGTAGCTGCTCAAGGCGTACTGTTGCGGCCAGGGGCCGTGGAGGCCGGCCGAGAGGGTGGGATTGCGAACTGCTGGTAGTAGTTCGAGTCCCGAGCGTGGCGGCCGTTCCGGTTGCGTGGCGACGGGGCCGGCGGACAGGCCCGACCAGCCCGGCCCGGGAGCAGACGCGGCGCCGGAGTCGGTGAAATAGCCGACGTCTCGTGGCGTCTCGGAGTCGAACCAACCGACGGGTCGAGGCAAACCGGCCCGAGCGCCGCTCGGCCGAAACGACTCGACGGCCGGCTTGGACAGACGTGCATCGGGTTCGCGGCAGTTAGGCCTGCCGCGACTCGGACCGCCGCATTCGTCGCCACCGGCACAGTGATCCAGCCGACCGGCGGCCAGCTCGGGATGGGGAGACCTGTTGCCATGGCGTTGCGACTCTCTGGGGCAGTGGTAGCAACAGGGGCAGAAGGAGCAACTGGGCACAAGTCGGTTGAATTTGGACATCTCCTCGAAAAAGTGCTTTTTCGCCGTGAAATCCTGCGCAATCGAGCTGGCGTCCACTCGACCGGCAGACGAGTCCTCGAGTTCCGGTCGTCTGTCGGGACACCTCAAACCGACAGGTTCATGCGTGCGCCAAGTCATCGTCTCGACGTCTCGCCGGCTCGGCCCTGCCAGACCTGCGGGGCCTCGAAATCGGCTTCTGGCAGCTCGAGCCGACCGTTGCTGGTCGCGCCAGGTGAGGATGGGCCGGACAGGACTGAGACGATCCTTGCGCAAGACACACTCTCGAATCTCCGTTTCGGTCAGTTCTTCCAGATCGTTTCGAGTCTCCCTCGGCGGACTGGGCGTCGGCGACCAACTGCCACGCGCCTCGTGGAAACAACGACGCTCGTGGCCGATGCGACTGGCCAGTCGACGCCAATCGTGACGATCGCGAGAGCGCTGGATCGCCGCCAAGTCGACGGTGAGCGCTTCGGTGGAAGAGGAGACCTCGGCCGGGCAGAAGAGCCTCGAGCTCTGGCACGCTTCGCGCGGACAGGCCTCACAACTGGGCCGGCTCGGCAACGAGTTGCGGCCCTTGACGAGACCACGCTCCGACATGGGCCAACCACATGAGGTCGTCTTGACTTGCGGCGACACGCATGTGCCGACGGTCCGAGCGGCTCGAACTCGTCGGCCCGTCGGTGTTCGTCCCGATCGTTCGGCCGACCAGGCCGTCAGACTTTGCGTCCGGTAGGGCGGAGGAGGCGAACAGGACGGCCGAGGCGACGGAGACCCCGTCGTCATGGAGGCCGACGGAGCTCGATTGCGAAGGCCCCACCTCGAGGTGGGCGGACTGAGACTGGCGCGTCGACGGCCCGTCGACTTGGCGACGCCGACGGGCAGACTGTGTCGAGGCGAGAAATGCGCCCGCCTGTGCAGTGCGAACGAAGACGGCGACGACGGGACTCGTGCCCGGGTTCGCTCGTTGGGACTCGACGGGCCGACGGCGAACAGATAGGGACTAAGACGACCGCTACTGGAGCGCGTCAGCGTCTGTGTCCGGTAGGGCGGCCAAGTGGCCTCTTGGCGGCAGA